GACCAGGGCCATAGGGGTCGCAACACTTAACTAGTTTTATGATCTTTTCTGGGTTTCTTTCCAAATATATAAGATCCAAGAAAATATAAAGTCTTGTTAATACTTTATCTTTACACAAATCTATCAAAAACATAAACAGAGCTCTGCACTTTAATCAGAGTCACCCAGGCTAGAGTGCAGTGGCATCATCATAGCTCACTACAACTTCAAACTATCCTCCTGCCTTAGCTTCCTGAGAAGCTGGAACTATATAGGTGCACACCACTGTGCACCAGCTAATTTTTCTTTTTAGTAGAGATGGGGTCTCCCTCTTGCTCAGGCTGGCCTGGAACTCCTGAGGTCAAGCAATCCTCCCACCTTGGCCTCCCAGGGTGCTAGGAGACATTAGCCACCACCCAGCTAGGACTGGCTATTGGTATCATTTCTTCATTTCTTTAGATGTTAAGATCTTTGATGAATTGTCTTCGTAAGGAACATTTTCTTAGGTGGTAGTGGGAGGGTTGGGGAAACAAGATATTCTTAAGAAGGAAGAACATTGCCCAAATAGTCTGTGGTGTTTGTTGTGATGCTCAAACTCAGTTGCTACAAAAATTAGAGATCCCTTTCCTTGGGTCCTCCAATTTAGAAGTAAGAGAGATTTTTAACAGTGGAGGACTGATATATATGTACCCTGATCAATACTGAAAATCTGTCCGCTTTTGAGAGTCTTGTCTCTCAGAGACACATGGCTCAAGGAGGGATCCTGGGAGTGTGTGTGCATATATATTTATACACAGAACTATACACTTGCATACCTACATCTATATTTATTTCCATAAGTAACTATACATAGTAGAAACTTAAGTTCATGCTAACACTTTTTTTGAGATAGGATCTGGCTCTTTTGCCTAAAGTGCAGTGCCACAATCATAGCTCACTATAGGCTCAAATTCCTGGGCCCAAGTGATCCCCCTAACTTGGCCTTCCAAGTAGCTGGGACTACAGGCTCATGCCACCACACCTGGCTAATTTTTTTTTTTTTAATTTTTTAGTGGCAGAGTCTTGCTATGTTTCCCAGGCAAGTCTTGAACTCCTAGGCTCAAACCCTCTTCCTGCCTTGGTCTCTTCTGGGATTATAATCCTGGCCAACACTTTTAATTCCAATCCACTACTACAGAATTCATTTTGGCTTTTTTCATGTTTGTAACTCCCTTTTCTGACAGTGAGAAACCTGGCTTATAATATCTTTAGCATACAATGACCCCCCATATCCACAGGTTCAACTAATCATAGATCAAACATATTTTTAAAAAATAAAATAATACAATAAAAATATTACAAACAAAAAACAATAGTGTAACAAAAATGTACATAACATTTACATTGTATTAGGTATTTTTTTTTTTTTTTTT